TGCCAACGATGCCGCTTTCCCCGGGTCAGACTCCTTCTGTGGCTGTCAATGTTGGCGCGGGTGGTTCGGTCAACTCCGTCACGCACCCAAATGAATACAAACGGCTTGCTCGTTTCATGAAGTCTCAGCGAAACACTCATTTGGTGGAGATGGGAAAGATGTGGAACAAAAGCTTGAGCGACAAGAACAAGTTGCTTAAAGAGTGGATCAGTCACGGTGAAAACGCGGACAAGATCGAAGCGTCGCTTCTTTTCAAGTTGGAGCACCAGGATCGGGAAGGAGCTGAAGAGGAACAGTTGACTGTGGAGCAAATGCGGAGGGAGGGCATCCCAGAGAAACTTGACCCAACTTTTTCAGTTGACATGTCCTGACACTTGTTTGTCCACCTTTGCTGAGCTAGGGCAACGGTCCTGTGGTTTTCCAAGAGTATCTAAGGGAGAAGATCCGGGCCACTGTGCAGAGGCAAGCAGGCACCAAGGATGAAGATTGCCCAACGAACCCGGGCCTTACTCGCTACTGGGTGGTGGTGAAACGCAGGCGCACGAGAGAGACCTGCCGGACCACAGCAGCGCAGGTTACTGGCGCGGCTCACGCTTCACAGGTTGCTGAGCTGATGGGCAACGCTCCTATGTCTGAGCTGTCTGGAACCCCATCGTCAATTCCAACCCCAGAGGTGCTCAATTTCCTTCAGAACTCAGCGCCGCCTGCAGGTGGCAACCCTGGAGGACTTCTTGCTTTTGTTGTGGAATGATGCTTTGTCTGTTGGAACCCATGTTTCTGTGACTCACCATGTATGCGCGTGTGAGGAGGAGATCCTGCCAGTGTCGCTGGCCCCAAAGCAAAGGCACGCGCGAAGGCAAAGGCAAAGGGGGCGGCTGGCCCCCTAGGCTTGAAACTTGAGGGTAAGAACGTCGAGGATCGAGTGCAGCTGGTCCGTGTAGCCCTCAAACTGCCTCTGTTTGCCTGGTAAGAAGTGCATCTGTGAAAAACCAATGTTTTGTTAGTTTCCCTGCCTAAATTGTCAAGGTGTTGAACTTAAGAAGGAGATGAATGCGATTTCCAATTTGAAATTGGACATGGGAAGCGATGCGCAGCACGCTGACAAATTGGCTAGCGCCAGCGATGATTTGGATTTTTGCTGGCAGAGGTGGGGGATGTAACCATTTAGATTTTCCCAGGTCTACACAGTACCTGTCAGGTGTGCCCACATGGTGGATTCCAACACCTTTGATGCGGAGTTCAAGGTGATTGTTGAGAAGGCAATTTCACAATTCAGAAACTTTACGAAAATAGTGGCCAATCTGCCCAGGTCTCTGCTGTGCGACTCTTGAAAGCACAGGTCCGAGCATATCACAAAGAGTTGAAAAAGCGATCCGGACTTGTTTCCAACCTTGGGATTGAAATTTGGTGTCCTTCAATGCTTCAAGGTTGTCTATTTTTTTTGCGGCCATACACAGCCAGGGGCTACGCCAAGCAGGCAACTGCCTGATGGATTCTCCTGAGTTGGCGCACGCAATGCATGTGAAATTTTGGCTTACTCTTCAGTTCATTAGATGGCATATACTGAGCTAGCTGTGCCCTATAAGCCTATACTATATACAACTGTTCTCTGTAAAGTGTCTATAGATGTGACATGCAGCGGTGGTTTCCAAAATATTTTTCTGCAGCTATGCAAACAACGAAGGCCAGGGGCTAAGCTGACATTGCTGAACCATGTCGGTTCGATTCTTGTAACAAGTGTGCTCGCTGCACGCAGTGCTCTGAGAAAAATGTTATTTTTCTGCATTGGTCTTGCGCACGGTGAAGCAGTTCATTTTGCATCAGTGTTGCGCCTGGCTGGGCCAATTGTTTTTTCTTTGACTGTTCACTCGCGATTCCAGGTATTGCCCATGTTCGGAATGCATTGGATGAGAGGACTGGTTTTTTGCGCTGCTGTAAGATGGTTTGGGGGGGGTTCAGTTTCAGCCAGGATTTTACGAGATGTTGGCGAAGGTGCTCAAACTTGGAAGGGGGCCAAACGGCTTGGTCAAGTGTATGGAAGCTCGCTTTTCGGTGTGAGGACTGGGGTGTCTATCACACAGTTTTTTAAAGGATTCAGTACTGCAGGTTTCCCAGCGTGAACCTTTTGCAGGACCAATGAGATGCATATTGAGACCAGGAAGACGTTCCCACTGGCACCGCCAGTGACTTACCATCAGATTGTGATCAAAGATCCGGAAACCCAAGTGGTGGAGCTGAAAGAGTGGCCTTTTGTCTTGCCCCATCACATAGTCTTTCTCTTAGCGCTTGCAGGTTTTGTGCTTGTCGCAATGTATGTGTGATGTTTTCCACCAGCGTGCAAACAAGCCGAAGGTGAGATCGTTCATCCAGTCTGGCTACAGATTTGCTCTGGGCAAAGCGCCGGCAGAATTCTGGGCAAGCATTGGGCATGATTTGGTGAATCAGTACCCGAATGATGACCATGCAGCTGTGACACTCTATGGTGATGAAGGCAACTACCTTCAGGAAACCTGGCTGTGTTTGCACTTCATGGCAGAGTGTCTGGACCCAAAGTTGATGAGTGATTCACGGGCCAGTCGCTTCATGATGGTCTGCATTGACAAATCTCGTTACCATGTGGAGGGACCAGTCAACGTGACAATCCAATCCACTTTGGCTGTCATTTGTAACAGTTTCAAAACTCTGTCAGAGGGGATCTGCACTGGTGATTCTGTCTTGCGCGTTTGGTGCACAAGCTTGAAAGGGGATTGGAAATTTATCCGGCAGGCAATGTCTTTAGAAAGGCATTACAATTCCTCTGAGATATGCTGGATATGTTTGGCAACTACTACTCTTTCCCAACCGTGGACAGATGTGAGTGAGTCAGCTGCTTGGCGCTCCACGGAATACACGAAAGATCCGTGGCCAGAAGGGGCGGCTCCATCCATCATGGCCCTTCCAGGATTCAAGCTTCAATTTGTGCAAGTAGACTTGCTGCACAGTTACTATTTGGGAATGGCTCGAAGCCTGGCATCGTCTGTGATGTATATTCTTGTCAAACAGCAGTGTTTCCAGGGAAGGAACATAGATAGCAGACTCCACAGTGCTTCCCGGCTGTTCAAGGCCCATTGCAAAGCAAGAGGCCATTATGTGGGCAAACACTTTTTCTTCACAAGGTCCAAACTCCATTGGAAGGGTGGTGAGAATGTGGAGCTGAAGGCGAAAGCTTTCGTGAGTGGTGTAGTCATTCAGTGGCTGGCTGTTTTCATGGAAGAATCCCGGTCCAAAGAGAGCGCTGAGCAAGCTGAACGGAACGACCTTATGCGAACATTGGTGTATGTGTGTGACAAACTTTTTGCGTACATGCATGCACTTCGGAAAGAGGGTGTGGTGGTGCTCAATGAAAAGCAAGCAGAGCAAATCTCTGTAATGGGTGAGGCGTTGATTCGCTTATACTTGGTGCTGGCGTCTGGTGATTGGAGCAGGTACCCCTGCAAATTGTTCCACTGCCGACCAAAAGTCCATATGACACACCACAGTTTCCTTTCGGCGAAATCCACAAGAAGGCTTCCTGTGAATTACACAACATGGATGGATGAAGATTGGGTAAAGCATTGCATGAGACTTGGGCGTCAAACGCACCGAGCAACGGGAGCGCTGAACACTCTACGGCGAATGTGGCTGGCGACGTTGTTCAAACTCCGTGATTTTGCGCAGAGCTGAAAAGGAAAAGTTTGTTCAGTGCTTCGGCATTTTCTTTGTTTTGTCTTCAATGCATTCCCTCACGATGGTTCAGATATTGTAGGCGTCCTCGGGCAAACCAAACCTGTGCTGAATTGTCCCAGGTTATCGCTTGGCCCTTTAAGTCAAGTTTTGTGCGCGTGTGTGTTTGTCATCACCTGTTCCTAGGGATCGACCCTACCTTCTACCGCTATTCGTTCTTGCTGACAAATTGCACAGCACCTAGGGGATCTTGTAACGCAAGTGCAGTAGCCCACTCATGAGTCTACTGCCAACGACGCTGCTCGTGAGTTTGGGAGAATATCGGAGCTGATCACTCTGATGTACCTGCACAAAATCTGTGGTAGCGGAGGTGTTTCCAACTGCAATTGCTTTATGTGGCCACAAAAAGACCTGACAGCCAGTTCCGCACCTCATCTGAGCAAATTTGCCTTCTGAAAGGCTGCGATACACTTTTTGGTGCCAAAAAAAAGGGCCACTGCATGGAAAAACCGGGGGGATTTACCTATGATACGGCCAAATCGTGGGGATTTGACCCTGGAACGATTCTCCAGGTTGGATAGGGGTCCAGGTATCTGGTATTTCGAAGTGCAAAACAAGCGAGCGTTGGGTTGTATATCTTGTTACATCGAGCGTTAAGTCAAAAAAACCTTGATTTACATTGCGTGGACGCGTTGCCTAATGCACTGCATGGACGCGTTGCTTACGCCCGCGGGGCGTAAGCGATGCGGACCCTCAGGGAGCTCCGAGCAGTGGGACCGCGTTGCCGTCCAAAAGGTCGCGTTGCTTACGCCCGCGGGGCGTAAGCGATGCTCCTTGTTTTTTTGATTTTTGGCTACATTCAAAGCAAGACCATCATATTCAATCATGCCAGCATGGTCAAGTGAATTCAGGCGGTTCACACGATCTTGGCACTGCTTTTTTCTTTCCCTGTGTCTTAATCTACTGCCCAAGCGGAAAGCCATCAAAAGTCTTGAATCTGGTGGGCACCCTGGCATCTCCATGCTCAGACTTGTATTCAGTGAGCTTGCTGAAGCCTCTTTCCCATTTCAACCGCGTCGCTTGTCAAAATTTCTCGGGGCCACGCGGAGATAAAACTGGAAACATGTTGGCTGTGTAAATGGAATATTAAAATGGAATTCCTAAAGGTACCCCCCCCTCGATCCTCCATTTTCGAGGAGGGGGGATCTTGAAACTCAACCGTTACATCAGAGGATGTCATTGTATGATGTGTGTTGCAACGTTGGACCACCCACGTCTGAGACCGCTGGGCGCCCGACCCAGGGACACGGCTGGGTTCAGCTCGCCACCTGACACCGATCGCAACACCGATCGCCGCAGGCCGCAGGACTCCGAAAACCGGAAGGAGAGAGGTGGCCTGTTTAACAGTATCCGAAGCGGTTGGTACCCAAACAAAAGGAATGGGACAGTCAGGGCAGGAGAGAAGACAATGTTCCAAGCACAATAGATTTCCTCCAGGAACAGCCTCCTATGTATACTCTACATAGTTGTTTGGATGGGATTGAAACGAATTTGCGATGATGTTGCTTTGCAGTAAGTCTGAGAGGATACGGGTGGAAGGGAGTGAGAGCGATCTGGTGTTGCAGCTGCCTGTTGCGAAGCTGTAGTCACTGTAGTCATCCACCATTGAAAGACAAAGACGACAGCTTCTCACCCAAAGACTACAAGGATCAGTTGAGCATAGTTGAACCATGTTGAACCCCTATACCCGAGGTTCTTCTCTTGAGTTTATCATGCCTGAGATGGATCCAGCAGCACAACCACCAACAGTCAAGCAAGATCCAATGGCCAGGCCGAAGTAGAAGTTCCTGAGCGACACCGAGTTGCAGGACGAAAAACCCGCTACCCGTCCCCTGGAAAACAGTGAACTGGTTTGAGACGTCTTACTGATCTTACTGTAAATCTGGATATTCTCGACACTATACCTATAATTCTTTGAAGGCTGATGGGATGAAGCAAGCGATGACATGATGTTGTTGCACGTGATTGCAGTTGTTCCACGACCGGCCTGAGGTCCCTTTGCTGGGGATTTCAGGCACACACCCATTCACCGCACCCTCCAAGGCCATATGCTTTCAGTTTTCATGTTGCCTTTCTGCTGCCTTGAAAACGAGGGACTGCTTGGTCTTCGACTCGGCGGGGACATCCCTGGTGGCGACTGCCAACGCCACGTAAGCCAGGATGGTGGTGAAGAAGAGCTCTGCAAAGGAGGCCTAAAGCAGGAGGGAGAGAGGGAAACACCAAGCAGCTTTGAGCTGCACAATGGAAATAGGATGAAATAGGTCAACGAATTCCCGTTTCTGGATGACGGGGTTTGTAGGTTTTTCTCGGAGGATTTGAGCACGTTCCGTGTGAAAACATGCTTCTGTGTGGCCCAAGAACCATACACCTGCCAAACATGTCAACTTACCTTGCACTCACCAAGAAAACCGTGGGACGGCTTCAATGACCTATACTGCGACTTGCGAGTCTCCGGCACGGCCCCACATGCCTGCCAAATGCTGTAGTGCTTGCCCATGGTAAGCCTGCAGCAAGCAGCTGCGGAGTGCGGACAACTAAACTTATCTCTTCCATGACTGAGCTGCAACATGTTCAATGTGACAGTGACATAAACATTTGCAGTTCCAACAAACATTGGATGAACATGCGTTTAAAAAAAAGAAACAGGTGAACCCAGTTGCAGGAGCTTGGTGTATCATAAGAGCAAGGCACGCTCTTGCGCATCTCCAATGATACCGCAAATGGATGCAATAGGCCCCTGACAACAAACAATCTTGAGACCTTTGTCCTTGAGACTTTGTCATGCAACTGCCTTGCTTACAGGAATCGGGACAAAGTACCAGTTACATGCCTAGTTGCATGCAACAGTTGCAGTTGCATTGTTCACGCAAACTCATTGTATGAACCAGAAATCCAAAAGATTCCACTCTGCACCCACACCCAGGGCACCGTGCCCGAACCTCAGAAGCTATGGACCTCACCTCAAAGGGTGGCAGCGGCCCCACAAGACCAGAGCCGCCCCCCAAATCCCAGCACCCAGACTGTTTGGTCCCGGCAACTGAATGGACTTCCGCGCCGTGAAGGAGACTCCGTGGAAGGCTGCCACGCCCAAGCCCGCCAGCAGTCCACCTGGCCGACCGTGTGACGATTCGCCGATCTCTCCATCACCGAACCCAATGAGGATGGGGGGGAAGATTTAAAATCTGTGTGCTCCCCGGAGCGATGTGCCGGGACGTGACCGGCGAAGGATGTGCTGGGACACGCCCATGACCCATGGAGTTTCTTTTTGTTTGCAGGTGTAGGGGATTTCATAGGATTTCTATTGATTGTGTCAAGGAAGCTCAAAGCCTGGAAAATTGGAATTCTCCCTGGATGGGAGTTGTTGTAGGTTGTCCGTCCCTACTAAACCTGCCTTTTCGGAGCCTCTCCTCTGGTCGTTTCCCTTGGGCAGCCCAGCCCTCGGGCCCCCGATTGTTCGGTGCCTAGCAGCTGCGCCACGGCGTAGCAAAGCGCTTGGCGGCGGCCGCACTTGCCCCGCAAAAGCACTGCCAAAGTCACAGCTGGGTTCCTTGGTGCCAAAGACCAGGTCCGAAGTAAGGCAGCAAGTCTGAAACCGTCAACAAAGAAGCAGTTGGCGGCTTATGGTTTCATGGCTTCATCGAAGACCTGTTGGCAGCTTAGTAGGTATAGGTCATTCGACTCGACGACCGACCGAGTGGTCCGTCGCTAAAACCGAGCGCCAAATCACAGGTGTGCTCCGGAGATGTTTCCCACCGAGTAGATCATACACATCCTCACATGGCGGGAACCGCGTCGACCGGCGGTCACCATGGTATAGTGACTATATAGTGAGCCTACTTTTACGACAATCAGGAGATCAATCAATCAAATACATGTATATACTATGTTACATCAATAAGGAATTATCAGGATTCTCTCCAGATCAGGTAGCTGTGCAAGTCCATGTTCATGTGTCCACAATAAACATGCAGATCTGCAGATCTTCCACTTCAACCACAAATCTGGCATCATGGTGAATATCTGCACAACTTCACCCTGTAAAAACTATCCAAGTTGCAACGCAGCTGCCGCAGAGAAGGCCATGGAGGGCGACTTGCAAACCAAGTTCATGCCAACAGTGAAGACCTAAACTGCCCAGCATCGAGTAGAATGCTAACATGGACAACATACCAATTTCCAACTGTTAACGTTGGCAAAAGGAAAGCCGAGCTCCCCACCTTGATTGCAGGTGATACATGTGATACACTATGATTGAGGCAAAAGGTGAATCCTCCCAAAGTTCGGACCAGTCTGAATTGATCGTGACCATTGCACAGGTTCCGACATCCGATTCCAACATCTGGCTGCAGGTCATTGCAATGCAGGAGCTTTGACCTTCAAAGGTTAACAAACATGGAGTGCAAACGGGTTTTTCTGTGTTTATCTACTATGTTACTCCCAGATATGGTCAAAAATGTTGATCTCACTGTTGCTCTCCCATGGTGAATGTTCTTAGCACCACCTATATCTGCCCACCCCACCCATCTGCCCACTCGCCCGCTGGGTGGGCCGCACCAGCATGAAGGTGCCCAACATCTCGGCGGCCGACGACACCCAAAGGCCTCCCATCAGCGGATCGTGAGTGTGTAAGGAGTGTTGGAGAGAGACAATGCTAGCATATCAAGAGAACAACTTCTGAGGTCCGCTTGACTGGATCATTTATGAGACCGGTTCCTGCCGCAAGACGATAAATAGTTGCTGTAAATTCTAATGGACCATGGATCTGGTCACATGCCAGGATACAAACCCAGGTTCATGGGGGTTCGATTGCAAAGTTAGCTGGGAATTCCTGTTTTGTTCTCTCTCTCTCTCTCTCCCTCTCTCTCGTCTCTGTGACCAAAGGATCCAAAGCACCTGGCTCGTGAGTCTGCAAGCCCTCATCAGTGGCGTCCTGAGGAGTCATGTTCATTTCATGGATGACGAACTAAACACAAAATCAGCCAATAGATTCGATGTATCAAGTTCTAATTACTGATGTGTACAACCACCAATGGCTAGCCACATGTTAAATAAATATATTTAGTTTAAGTATGTTTAAGTCACAAACCGCCAATAGATTCGATGTTTTATATAATCACAAATAACTATCTGATCTGCTGTCAGCTGTCACCAAAGGCTCCAGCGTCTCAAGTTCCCGAACCTTCCCACGTCAGGCCCCCGTCCTCGGCGAACTCCTCCGGGCGCAAGGCGCGGAAGGCGCCGGCAGCGGCCGTGGCGCCCAGCAGTTCGGCCACGCACCAAAGCCAACACCAGTGCATCTCCTCTTGTTGGGAGCTACACGAGGTCTGTGGTTGTTGGTTTGGGCTCTGAAGTGGTTGGAGAGGGAGTGATGAATGTGATGGAGTGTGGTGCTGGAGAGGAGAGGGTCTTGGATAGTCAGGGGCGGTGGACTGGATGTTCTGGATGCATTGAGTGATGGGTCTTTCTTGTATTGTTGAAAAGAGCATTGTAGAGCTTGGAATGGTCAAGGCCAAGTTGGAACGTTTGGAGAGGTTAAGGACGATCCGAATCCTATATATAATCCTATTGGTTTTGGGATGTGTGGGGTAGAAGTTGTATCCGATGTCATTGACAGCAGTTGCCCGCGTGGCAGTCAGCCTGACCTCTGATACGTACCATGACTATCAATGACTTACATGTGAGCTTCCCAAAAAAACCGCCCTCCCAAAACACTCACCCACCGACTCGGCCACTGAGAACGACTATATATCTGTGTGACCCCTCAATCCGACGGACCTCCCCGCGAGTCCAGAACCGCGCGGTCCTTCCACGTCCCCACGCTCAAGGCCAAGGCCGGGTTCAGCGCGGCCCCCGAGACGCCGCCCACCGCGTGGCCGCCGGCGACGAGGACGAAGCCGATGGCCAAGCCGCCGAACTGGTTGGGGTCCTTGGTGTCAAGTTGGGCCGTGAAACATCTGGAAACCGAGGTGGACGGTGGATGCGATCAAGGACTGAGAGGGAAGAAGCAAAGGTCCCATAGACGATGCTGGTAGTATTTGACTGTGTGACTGTGTGATATCGCGTGTTCATACTGAAGGAATTCCTTGATCCTCCTGGGCATTAGTGAAAAACTGACAAAAGCCCCCCTCGATCGACATATTGTTGATATGTTGTGGTGAAAATATAGGAATTTTCTAGAATACAGACCCCAAAACGCAGCACGCGCTCCTCTATCGTTGGTTTGTCATGTCAAAATCAATGCGGTGCCATTTCATCGGCCAAGGCGCATCTTTGGGGTTGTTGCGTCGCGAGGCAGTGCAGTTCAGGACCACAAAACAAAGCATGAAGGTGTAGAGAAGTTCTGCTGTGAAACAAAAGCCTCCCAATGACAACCGGAGCAATACGATTTCACCACAAAAGGGTGGCAGTCTGAGATTTGAGGCTGCCAACTAAAAGACTGACAGGCAGTTCGAAACTTTGAATAGGTGGCTGGCACACTTCGTGCAGCTTGTAATTGCTCCTGTATCCATGCCACGAAGCAACTCTGGTGATAGAACAGAGCAACTCTGGTGATTGCAACTGTGACAGGCCAACTTAAGCAAAGCCTCTCTAGGCTTCAGGCCCTTTCTAGGCCCTTGAGACGGCCGTTCGATCCCCAATCCCCACGACGCTGCGCGGGGCCCCCGCGGTGCCTGCTCCGAAGGGCCGGAGGGGCGCCACCAGGACGTAGTTCGGAGCGCAGATGTACCGCGCGGCTGTGGCCCCCAGGAAGCCGCCCAGCAGTTGCACGGCCCAGTACTTGAGCCTTGCGTGGCACGGAATCGCCAGTGGTAGTATTGAGTTGGAAATATGGTGATAGTACTGAAAACCCGTTTAAAAGTAATGAAAGGCCTTATTCTTGAGTAGTTATATACAAATAAATCACCGTTTGCTTTTTGTGGCAGTGTTTGTTGTTAGGCAAGTGGTAGGCTCGGCCCAATCCCTTCTTTTGGCATGTTGTGGGTGCGTGTACAAGATTTGGGGTGTTTATCCATCTATAGTCCCCGAACTAAAGAATAAACTATCAACGAGCCAATCCCAATAGAAATCCAGGTTGTTCTCGTATAAACGGGATCTAGCAACTGGCTAGTCTTGCTTGCTTCCGATATCAAACAAATTGCAATCAATCGCTTTCCGGCGGGTGACAAGTTCAACATGCAATGACCACACACAAACAAACCGCTCACAGTGAAAGTAACAATGTCAAAAAAGAAACTTGAGGGGTCCACATTGGGGAAAAGCTATAGCTGTTTGTTTCAAGTGACATTTGAAGCCATGGCAGTTTGCCAGAGATCGCCAAGGCTAAGGAGACTGCGGGGTTGAGATTGCCTCAGGACCATCGAGCCGTGTATTGTGGCACCACGGGCCCAGGGGCATAATCAAAAATGACTTATGTAATTTGATTATGGTGATGCATAATCAAGAATTATACATAATCATAATGAAATTCACGTGCATACTTATCAACGAATTTCCATGGTGATGCACTTGGTGATTTGAAGCAAACATGTGTTCCGAACAAAAAAGCACATCTGATCCACATCATAGTGTGGATGTCAAAGATCCACATGGTGCAAATCAGAAAAGCAAAAAAACAGGTAAACAGGTTCAGTTCCTGGTCCTGGTCTCTCTGAAAAACGACCCCACCCCCACCGAGATGCCTCCAGAGATTGGCCCTGTGGCATAGACCATGACCTCAGGTCCCGCCCGCTTGCCCGATCCTGGCGAACTGCGAACCCTAGGATGATTCGGATAATATATATATATATATAATATAGCAAACCAATCAAACACCGTGGCAGGGCTTCGCTTTCTCGAAAAACATCTAAAAACGTTTCAGTGATTCTTTTGAATGTGAGCATGTTAGAGCCCCAATCCTCGTGGTTGTGTCTGGTGTGCCAAAAGCTTCTCTGCGGAAATCAAACCACGCTAACTGGCTCCAAGGGCCTTGTTGGCTCCACCAGTCTCTTTTGCAGCACCTGTTTGAGCTTGTGAGAAGAAAGGCTCCCTACCCCACGCCAAGACCACCAGGCGATGATGCATGGAGCTGGCGAGCAAGAGAGCCAACGGTTTGCATCTTCCTAACCGCTTGGGCATTCGTCTGAGATCTTCCAATCTTGAATTAGCTCATTTTGCTGTCTGAGACCGTGGCCATGAGAACTGCCGCGATGGCGGTCGGTGCCCATGGCACCGGCGCAGGCCCAATCACCACACAGCCTCAGTGGCTCACATGTCTTTCCTTGGGGTGGTTCCTTCTTCCAACTTTCCTCGGAAGGCTCTAAGCACCCCCACCCACAGTGAGGACCAGGCAAAAGGTGCCAAGGCCTTCGGCCTCAAGGTGTTTTCAATCAGCTTCGAAAGGCCGGGTACTGCGATTGAGATACTGAAAGACTTTGATGTGAACTTGATCATATAGAACACATGCATGGGCAAAGTTCCAAATGCAAACCTCTTCCCCCAGGCTCCAAAGACTCCGCTCTTATCTGAGAAGGCGTTTGGTGAGGGTTTGGAGGGTCAAACCGGGAGACCAGTGTTGGATCGTCGCCAGGCCACCAGCAGTGGAGGGCTCAGAGTGAGGGTCGGAAGGCTCCAGCGCCATAGGTAGCTGCATTTCCACCAATTCCCGCCAACCTCAAAAGAGTTCAGATTTGGACCACCACAAATCTGCAAAAAGATGCGAAAAGAGTCGTCATCTGAACATCCCCCAACAATTGAGATCAACCTGTTCGGCTGGAGGCCGAGGCTCTGCGTGGCGAATTGTGGGTCGACGTGGCCGCGCCTTCGCTGCATATGTGGCCCCATAGTGTGCAGCCTCTGCTTCCATTAACGACCTGAGGTTGCCAAGTGTTGCGGTAAATCAGAATCAACACAAGAAATAATGTCGAGGCTATTGAAGACTCAAGACTCATCAGAGTATAAACATCAAGGATCAAATCTTGTGCAAGTATCTTTTTGTGTTAGCAGCTAGCAAAACCCTGGCGCCACTGTCATCAATGCAAGAGTCAGTGTGGGTAATTAACAAACAAAACTGACCCGCAAACAAAGGGCAGCATCTTCTGAGCCACAGAAAACGGCAGAACATGTGTTCTGTCTCCAAGTCCCTCACTTCGATGGAGCCTCTTCCGCCATGGGCGGAACCTTAAAGCAGCGCAGGGAATTCGCACCAATAGGTTGGAAACCAATGTGCATCTTGGCCAATGAATTCAGGAAATAAACACATATCATAAGAAACAAACTCCTGAGCCAATAAATTGTTATATATATATATAAATAAACATACATAAACCATCATAAACCCAACACTCATGTCAAGCCCCGACAAACAAGTCTTGGTTGGTAAACAGTATCATGCTAATCTTAGAGACATGGCATTTGGAATTCTAAACATGAGACCTACGTATATCCAAACAGAATAAGTGTACGGCTGGGCATCGTCAGTATTTGAGGAAAAATACATAGCGGTGCCACGTTACACGGGCACCAACACATGTCAAACAGACACGCGTCTCAGGTTTCCTTTTCACTGGCCGAACGGCCGTTGAACGCTGGAAGCCACTGAGCCTCCGGCGTTGGACAACGCAAAACGTTTCGGTGGACTTCGGGAAAGCCGAAGTCTTGCTTGCGGTGAAAGGCTGAAAGAGCCAAATTGCTTGCGGCGTGCAGCGTGCCAGGTCACCTTGGGTGAAATGAAAGACGGCTGTACGGCTATAGGTTATATAATTAAACATGCTGTATATAATATATACAACTAAAATCATTTGTCCCAACGAAGCATGGTGCAGCAATGTTCAGCAAAAGCGAGCCGCGTTTCAGTTCCATAGAGTCCAGTGTTCTGAGTCACCCTGAGTCACCCCTTTCCAATCAGTTGTGTCCAGTCGCACTCAGCGCATGGCTGGCCAACATGGTTGCCAAAACAAAGCCACCTTGACGGTACCGTCGACGTTTGGTGAATTGGTGTGAATTTAGAGCTGTGTTCGATGTGAAAGTGATGCCAAACACTGCATCTTCCTACTCACCTACTGAAACAGTGAGCTGGAGGCCCTATTACTTCAAAATGGCCGCTGCTCTACCAAAATGCTCGCCTGGTTCTGCTACGTCTATCTCCACCGGTCGTTGTTTTGACCGGGTTGCTCGGCGGATCAGATCAGTTCCGACGTGATCGGCGTTCTTTGTTCGGCCAACAACATGAATTAGTATAATATACAAACAAAGAAACCCCGATGGGGATCACAGCTTCAACTCTTGGAGGGTTCAAGGTTCCAGGCAACCATCCGAAAGAGCCTCACGGTCCAAAATCACAAAGCCCTGGGCGCTCCACTGCCGTTCCTTCCACACATGGCTGCTCTGCTTGGTAAACGCTTCATGCCACGTCCACCTGCAGCGAGCTCCGCAGCGCTGGGGGAAACCCCTGTTGGACTGATCCGGAGCTAGGGAACTCTAAGACTTCTCACAGTTTGGTACTATGGTACCGGACAGGTACTGTACAGCTGCTGATCTTGGAATGCTTGGTCTCTGTCCTGCCGAAACTGTGGAACCTATATAGTACTAGTTGGATGTGCCGTTGGAGATGGAACCGTCCAATGACGCAACAAGAAAGTGCCTCTGACTCTGAGCTTCCTTTGCGCTTTGTGCATTGGTGAGCGGAGTTTGAGCGACCCAGATCCAATGTTCACGTGAGCCAAGGGCGTGATCTTGGTCAAACCGAAGAACGGAATGCTCCGGATGTTTCAAGAGGTCGCCCAAACCAACGAAAATGTGTCCAATCCTGCTTGCGGTCAAAACAACCCACCCCGAAGACCCCGACTGGCCCACCGAGGACTTGGTGTCCAACATGCGGTTTGCACAGGTTCAAGTCTCAAGATGCTCGCTCTTCCAGGAAGCAGGCAATGTTTGGTTCTTTTGAACCGCAGGCGACGGCAGAACGTTCCTCTGGACAACATCTAAAACTCTGCGGCGAGGTGACGTGCGTGTGGTTCAGGTCCTTCGGTCCTTCAGCATTCATCCTTCAGTCCTTCGCATGCAATCACGTTCACCTCTTGCTTCTTGTCGGGCAAGTAGAAGGGCGCTAGAATCCCATTCTCCGCCTTTGTCCAAACCATCTTTCCAGGCTTGAAGGTGTTCAAAGAACCTTCTTGAACGGTGTACCTGCCATCACTGCATCCATTCAAAGTCAAGGGCTCAGAAAACCACACCCAAGCATTGAACAAAGGTAGACTGGTAGACTCAATAAACCGGGGAAGGGTAGGGTCCGGTCGGGTTGCAGCAGTTCCCTTTCCGATTCTGGAGGTATCTGAAACGTCTATTTTAAACGGTTCGTTGCTTAAGGTACTCCTCACAGTACTCCAAGAATCTCAGTTAGTGTCACATCAGAAATTCTTTTTGGGATTGAAGGGACCTGACCTTTTTCCCAAACCGTGGGTTCTCTACATGGATTATATAATATTATATATATGGTCGGCTCTCGTGCTGCCAAGTCTTTCTTCCAACCTGCCCCGTGCCCTGCAGGTTCTTGAAGTTCCAACCCTTGATGTAGATGGAATTGCCAGACGGATAACTGCCACCAAAGCTGGTGTAGAACACAAACATAGAGGTGTCGATATTCACTTCACCACCTCCGGGTTGTGGAATGGGCTGCTCAAGCGTCGGAGCTTCACAGGTGATATTGGCGAAAATCACCTCAGACTCACCGGTCCGTGCCCGGCAGCCGCGGAAACAGGACAACAGATTGAACATAAAGAAGCTAAACCACAATTCATGCATAAACCGAATCAAACACATGCAAACAGCTCCTTCTTCGACAGAATCACGCCTGAAAGGCGTCAAGAATCCCATCTGAAAGGCAAATGCTCTCTGGAACTACAATAATGTCTTTGATGACACAGGCTGGCTGGCCCCAAAAAAGTTCCCAGCTGTCCTCCAAATCTTTGAACTCCTTTGACATTTGACTAGTATCCGCGGAAGCAAACATATGGGCATATGAGCATCAAAAGCTATTGGACGAACGAATGCCCTACAGCTCACCCGGGTTTCTGGTTGAAACGCCGACCAAGTGGCCGATCGGAGCCCATAGGTGGCCACACAATTCCCATACCTCGGCGATGCGCATCGCCGTAGGGTTGCTGAGGTGAAAAGCCCCCCCCAAATGGGTCGTCCAAGTGCTCTTTGGGATGGTCCCGGAAAAGTGGTTGAGCCTAACCTTCAAATACCATACCAGTGGTCAGCCCAAAAAGAGAAAAATCAGGTGTGGGAAGGACCGTGCAAAACCGCCCAAACAAAGAAATCCTTCCCCTGTGAAAGGCCAACTGTTCATCCAATGCTACCAGGGCTACCAGTTGGGCCGCATGATCCCAGGGTTGACCGCCACCGCGTTCGCGAAGGTGATCTGCTCTGGGAAGGACTCTGCGCCCCAAAGCGCCAGGGTGTCGTCACCTCGGGTGGAACGATGCAACAGAGTTGGTATACAAGAAGTTGGTATATACGTGCGACGCGCAGAACCAATGCAACATCTTGGAGTCTAGGACTGTTCAGCTGTTCAGCGTTGTGCAAAGCGTTCCACGTGCGCTACGTAGCTTCTTAGTTTTTTTTGTCGGAGCATGAAGCTCTGTAAGAAATGAGAAAGTCACATTGATGCATCCCCATGGGCAGATATACTGTAGCAGTCCAACTCTTGTCTCCCAGGAAGCCAGCAAGCATGGCAAAAGGGGGGGCTGCAGAGTGAATGAACCGAGTTGCCAGTGTTCTCGATGTACACGTCATGCACCAAGGCACCTTTGATGTTCCCATGCAGGTTGATGCCATCCGCTTGCGCAGATGTTGCCTTCATGCAAGTGTCTCGGTTCTCCGCAAAGTGTCATGCATAGAATCCCAATGAGTAACCCACAGAAAAAATAAAAACAAGATGGAACCCACGAACCCGAATGCAAACACGATCGAAAAACTAATATGTCCAAAGGACACTCTTGTAGGACACTCTTGCGGGACACTCTGTAGGACACTCTTGTGGGCCACTCTTGTAGGAAACTCTTGTGGGACACTCTTGTAGGACACTCTTGTGGGACACTCTTATAGGACACGCTTGTGGGACACTCTTGTGGGACACTCTTGTGGGACACTCTTATAGGACACTC